GAAGTGGAAATTTTTTTTTTCATATAAAATTTTTTTCCACCTTTTGCATTTTCCATTTATTGATTATTCATTTCAATTATGAGAATCGAAATTTAAGATAAGAAAGAGAGTTATCTGAATGTGATAAAATGAGCGGAAGTGAAATTTGCAAAAAAAAATTAAGCCTATAATAAGGCGTGAATGCAAATTGAAAATTGAAAAATTGAATTTTTGAAAGAATAAAAGAGCGGCTAAGAGACGACTAATTAAGCTTCTCATGCTTGCTTGCCTTAATTACCAATTAAATTTATGATTATTCTTATTTGAAAAAGTGTAAAATTTACATTTTCAAAAGTAGGTAATATATCGTGCAAAAATTTGATGCATTGATGTTGTACCTCCCAACGATCATCCATTAAAAGTCGTTCGAACTGCTTGAATAAATCACTTTTTCTGATAAATTTCGAGAACCATTGCGGATCATTTTTCACCCATGCTGTTAAATTACTTAACGTCTGAAAATATCTTTTTTCTTTTATTGCTAATTGACGGTTTTATTTTCGTTGAGGAATATTTTATTGTTGGAACAAATTTTGATATATTTCATTCTTTGTATGGTAATTAAAAATAGAAAGGTAAATTAAAAGTTTAAAAAAATTTTTTTTTTCTTTAATTTTTATGCTTTCTCTGTCTGTCATATTACCTTTTCCGTTTTTTTCTTATTTAAAAATTGAGCAAAGATAAACATTTATTTTCCATGAAAGAATTTTTAACTTGTAATTTGTAAATTTCTTCTAAAAATGAATCAGGATATCTATTTCGAAATTCAAAATATTGTTATTTATTTTTCTAAAATTTTTGCAAGAAAAAATTTTCATAATTTAATCAATTATCTTACAAAATAGCATACTTACTTGCAAACGAACATCAAAATCGGTACTGCGCAAAAATTCGATAATATCTTCATCAGATGGTAATGATGGTGTCATATTCCAATCTGTCACTACTGGTGCCAACATTATCCGATTATCTTTAAAAAATTTTGAAAAATTTAATGATGATATGATGAAAAATTACGTACTTATCAATACTTCAAAGCATGACAAAATATTGTACGAAATAAATTTGTTTAAAGAGAGAAAGGGAGAGGAACGGTAATATCTGTGCGACATTCTGTGCTGATTGATCATGATGATTTGTTAAAATTTTCTGAGGTATCATTTAGATTTTAATTGATTCCAGAAATTATCAATTCAACTAAAAATTCTTGAAACTCTGTATAATCTTTGAAGTATTATTTAAAATAGGAAAAAAGAAGAAAAATTAGTTCAATTCGTTCAATTACCGAAATTTTGTAAAGTCAAAAAAGATAAAAATTATTAAATTTATCCCAAAAAAAAAAAAAAAAATTTTTTTTATCCACAAAACGATAAATTACAAATATATTTTAACAAAATTCCTGCAAGCATTTGAGCATTTACAATAATAATTTGCTATTTCTATTTAACTACTCGCTAGTAATATTTGATTCTGTTTTTCAAATAGTAAAAATATTGAAGCCAAATTAATAGCAATCTCGATCATTCTAAGATCTCATTCATAAATTATCATATAATATTAACCTATACCAAATGTATGCATTAGCATAACGACAAATATATATATATATATTACTTGAAGATTTTATGTGAAACATATTTCAATGATTTATAATTGAATATTTAATTTCTAGTAAATTACAATTCTAACATCTTTCACATAACGTTTCATTTTTTCCTCTTTAAATTTATTTTCTAAATGAATATGCGGTATTCTAATTAATTTTGAAATAGGAAAAAGAGTGAAATAAAGTAAATTTGAAACAAAATAACAAAAAAAAAAAAAAAGTCATAGACAAGTAATGAAAATGTGCAAATGAAATTATCGAGAAAAAGCAATTGCATTTCATTTATAATTTATCCATTAGTTATAATCGATAGTGAAATGATTAAATGATAAGTATAGGTAATGAAATCGGTATAATAGAGCATATTTACCTGAGAAATGAATAATACATACATGCATACATTACTTAATGATCGGCATGAAGAAATGAAGACACAAAGGGGGGATGCATTACTTTTTCAAACGAAATTCACTATCCGTATGAAAAAGTGAAATATAATGGAAGGTATATGAAAATGTGATAGACTAATTTTGTCGTCACCAAGGTAACCAAATAATTGACGATCGTAGCTAATGCTTGCTTAATCAAATATCCATAACATTTCTACGGTCTCATACATCCTATTAGAAATATCGAAAATTTTTACCTAATTTGTAATTAATAATCAAAAGGAACAGAATAAACAATATATATATATTTACACTAAAAGAGCATTCTTTTTTTTTCACTTTTTTTGTTTTTTTACATTGTATTTTTTAATATTGCTACGT